TGATCATCGCAGCCGCAGTGAAGGCACTAAATTTTGCGGCCTTTTGACCAAGTTTATGACACACGTTTAGCTGTCTACTTGGCCCACGCTCATCCGCTCATCCGTTGCAGGAAGAGATTGGAAGTTGTTCATTCTCCCCTCTTTTTTTTTCTCTCCAATGTCTCCCTTCTTCTGTATTTCTATTTTCAATTAAGATCTCGTATTTCAGGCGCCCGACAAACGCGCAATTGTTGTTGTTAAATTATTAATTGACATTTGCCTGGCGCCAGAGGAGAGCAACTCAAGTGCCCGCTCTCTCCCTTTTTGTTTACAAATTAGTTACACAGTTTTTCAATTTACTTATATTTCGAATTGCCCGATTTCTATTTGCCTTGTAGGTGAATTCAGTGCGAATGTTCGACCAGACGTTGAAGCCATCGCTGCAGCCGCTTTGAGCGGAATGGAAATGGGATCTGGACCGGGATCAGAGGGATTCGAAGAAGCCGACAACGAGAAAAGCAAAGCAATGGAAAATGGTAAGTTTGGGCAAAGTATTGACTTTGACAAGTTATGATTCTTTGGGCAAAAGGGAATAGAGGAAATCAAATGTTTGTAGCTATTTTTGTTACGAATCGTCAAAAACGGAAATGCCTAAATAAAACTCAAGTAAAATAATCTAGTTCATATTTATCTTATCTGTTTCGCTTTTACTTCTCATCTCATAGACATTTAAAGTTTTTTAAGTCCAAAAATAGCTAAAGATCTTTAGAACCTTGTAAGAAAGATCACCAGCAAACACATATTTCGAGTTGGGCAAGCATAGTTCAACATCCTCGATAGTATAGTGGTTAGTATCCCCGCCTGTCACGCGGGAGACCGGGGTTCAATTCCCCGTCGGGGAGAGATGTGAAAACATTTTTTTTCTTTACTTTTATTTATTTTGTCTTAAAAAATAAATTGCAGCACAAATATTATAAAAAGATCAACAAACTAAGCAAATCAATAAATACGGGTTATGTTTTTAAAACATAGCAATATAAAGATATCCATTCAGTACGATTAATAATTAAGCTTAAAGAATTTATTAAACTAACAATGCCGTTTTTTTGTATTGCTAAGTTAATACTTTGATGTTTCTTAATGAGAAAAATAACAATGTATTGACTTTTCATTTACAATAAAATATATCTTTTAAAGCTGAAGATGACAAACTCCTTAAAAAGCTTTTAAAAAAAATTTACTAAGCAACAAAAGAAAAGAAATGTTTTCACATTCTCCCCGACGGGGAATTGAACCCCGGTCTCCCGCGTGACAGGCGGGGATACTAACCACTATACTATCGAGGACGGTGAACGACGCTCGCCAAATGCGGCATACGATTCTCGTTAGATTCCAGTTGTTTTCCGTCTGCGGAGAGAAGACCTTCCCTCTAACGATTCGTTTGGCATTAGGTTTTGTTTGAAAAAATATATTAATAGAGCCGATAGGCTGCAGTCACCCTCAAAAGGTGTTAATGGGGTGAATACTTAATGCGTTTACAAATTATGTTTGACGCGGCAGAGGAGTATCTGTGTGCTTCATAGCCAAATGTGTGTGTGGGTAGATTTATGCCCAGCACACACTGCGTGTAATTATAATTTATCGTTGTTGAAATTCCATTAAACTTTAACACCTCACCTTGGACACGTGAAGTGCAGCAGAGAGGAGAAAAAGAATCGAACCGAAACGAACCTGGGATGGAATCGAAACTGACTTGCACTTCAGTTCTTTTTTGATGAAGGGGATTTTGTGGTGGTAATGAAGAGCTGCCAGGCTGTTCTGCTTTTCAGCTTTTCGACTTTTCGTGTGTGTGTGTGTGTGTTTGTGTGTATCTATCAGATCTTAATTCATTGCAAATGTGTGCAAGAATGGAACGAATTCCGAGCATTTTTCCACATGTTGCTGACAACATGAAATGTCTTTGGTTTATTTTTACACACACCCAACAACACGGGCACACAATAAAGTGTCGCCCACGTTGGTTGACACAAATTTCTGGTACAATACGAACATTTTCATGCTGCAGATACAGATTCAGCAGACTGGTATCCGTGAGATGCCTGGACAGTGCTACCGACCAAAAGAAAAACACAAAATAACAAAAAGAGAGAAAAGACGAAGAACAATCGGGTAGCATTGCTTGACTTTGATTTAGGACCCAGCCACACTCCAGTGACATCTTGGACCTTTCCCGAGACCTTCGGCTTTTGTCTGATTTCTGGTGATTTCGTTGATTGGGAGCCTGTTGCGCACATCTGTTGGCCATGTTGCAGTGACCCGAGGGTTTCCACTCTCCATCTTTGTGTATCTAATGTTCAGTTCTAACAACAATCCCAAAAGATACAGATTCGTTACAGATACAGATACAGATTCATTCGGCCCGCCAGTTTGTCTGGCCTTTTCCCAGGGAGTGTCGGCCCCGTTTTGTGTTTATTGTACGGATCGTATAGTCTCATCCCCGCCCCACTCCTACGCTTTTCACACGAAATACTCGAAAATTCAACATGGATTTTCTATTGTGTAGAGCCCAAAATAAATATACATATATGGTTAGAATCAACCTTTAGTCCCCGCACCGTCTCGCAAACACTAAGGCAAACAAATTTGAGAGAACTGTGCAGTGCTAATGGAACGAACAAATCAAAGTCTCGGCCAAAGGCTTTTTAGCACAGGTGCTAATTGGGCATTGCAGCAAATCCTCCCGTTCCTACATTGCGCGAATTAGCACGGATCGCTCAGAAATTTCGCGCTAGAAAAACTTTCAGAATTCCGCCACTAATCAATTGAGTTCTACAAGTGTCATGGACCCTGCACATTCTACTTTATTTCAAACTGTCCGTTTGTTAAGCTTGGCCGACCAGAAAACAAATTAATGACTTTAAAATAAGCGGAGCTTCTTTTAGTATTTAGTATCAATATGACTGCTTTGATTATTATTTCTGGAAATTTATTTCATTCAATATGTTTTCCTACCTTTTTTTATAAAAAGGTAATAAAAGCCTTATCTAAAAAAATTAGAAATAAAGCAAATCGCAATCGCCATTTGAAATTAAATTCAATTTAGAAACGGAAACTGTTTAATTTTTTTGAAGATAAAAAATATAATTTTCTAAGATGTATTTTGCTAAACCTGAGCTCCCTTAATTCCTTTAACGAATTAAATTTAAATGGTATGCTGCTATCCATTAAATTCAATTGATGGCATCCCCAATCCCCAGATCCAACTTGATTTTCTGGCTCCTTCTGAACACGGGTACACGAGTTGCCTTAGTTGCCCTCTGGCCGATATTAACCAAGACCCTTTGAAAGTCTCCTTCTCTGTCGCTCCCTCTATCTGTCTCAGTTCCCCTTTCGCCCTTTCTCCCATTCTCTGGCTCTGGTGCATCCTCTCAGCGTCTGGCTGTGCACCGCATGACTCCTACACTTGAGAAATCACACCTCGGAGGCAGCAGCATCACCACCACCAGCCCCAGCCACATCCACAATCCGGGCATTTAGGGAGCTGGAGCTGGGGGCATCTCATCCAGAGATTTTGACTAGACAAAAGCAGAGCAGACCCCGAACCAGATCGAAATGAATTATGGCCGCGGGCGTGATAATAAACGAAAGATCAGCACTGGAATTCAAGTGGAAATGCACAAAGAAGAATTTTGATTTTATTTTCAATTAAAAAATCCATAGTTAAATCAATATTTACAGTTGTAACAATATAAATTATTTTTAACCTAAGGCTATTTAATCGTAATAGTAAACGTTAATAAAACTGCTCATATATTTGATTTTAAGAAAATCCTTATCTTTTTGTGTAAAAAAAATTAGTTCGTTTTTTTCACTAAAGAAAAAGGAATTGATTCTTGTATAAAAGAATTTTAGAATGAATTTATTTGTAACTTCTATGAAATCGTTATTATGAATTGGGAGTTGCTTTCCCCATTTGCTCGTAATATTTTGTTTTTCAAATTAATTGTATATTTTTTTTGAGAGTGATAGCTGGCAGTTTTCTATGTTTTTTGAATAAAAACAGAAAGATATGTCGACCGAGGTGGATGTTAAAGTTCGGGGGCAAATGATTCTGCCGGGTGTTATCGCGGGCCATAAACAAAATGAGCAAGTTATGCGCGGATCACAGAGGTCGGCCGGCGGTTCAAATGCATTTTTAATGCCAGGAGTTACCTGAAGAAAGCCGAAGTGCTAAGCACTAAACGCTCACGACAGGTAGAAGAATTGGTAAACCTCAGAATCTGAGCCATAATTAGCAGCGACTACTGTGCGGCTAATGAGTCCGCAGAGGCTGGAAGAACGATAACTCTGAGGATGCAATGCAATTGTAAGGGGGGAAGGGAAAGGGGGAAATAGTATCTCATGGATGCGCTCGGGAGAACAGGAGGCGTCGTACTATTAGTTGGCAATGGTGTTGCTGCTAATCACACGTTTGCCCGCTAACAAATTCGACCAAAACTGTTATTATTTCTGCAAAAGTGCATGCAGAAGGGCCCTCTCCTCGGCAATTATGTGCAGTCGTTTCCCCTGCCGATTCTTCCGATATTTTCCCCCCATATATGTATATATATCCACCATCTAGATATGTCAGTTATAATAAGCAGCTAAAGAAATACGAGCACGAACAACAAAAACAACAACAACAAAGATGCTAACTCAAAGATCAAGATACACACGCACACACCTATACATGAAAAAAACTTGAAATTCAAGTGAGAGTATGATGGCAAAACAAGAACAAATGTAAACGAAGAGAGAGCTGAAGAGAGAGCGGTGAGAGTATCTTTAGCTCTCGCGCGTTTTTAAACGCGGGCAAGATACTGAGCTGTGCGTTTTTAAACGCCTGCCTGTCGCATGTTCACGCGTTTCTGACTGGTCTCTCTCGTTATTTTGATTTTCACTCTCTTTTTCTTTTTCCGCTCTCTCTTTTGGGTCTACTAGCAGCGGCGTTTTGGCCTGTTGCACATTCGTAGATACGTTCTCCGCGAGTCGTGACGTATCCACCGGATTGTTAAGCAAGACCGTATTCAGATACAATCCCAGAAATTGTCGAATTCGTTTAAGCATCTCGCCTCGTCTTTCATCAAAAAACAAATATTTTTGATTTGTTTTGAAACTAACTGTGCCTTACGGAAATATTTGTAACTAAATAAAAACATAACAAAAGTGTTTAAAAGGCTATAAATGTTTAAAGATTATAAATAGAAAATTATCCCAAAAGCTCTATTGTTAAGCCAGTGCAAGTGCTAATAATTATAAATAGTGTAAACACAAGAGAGAGAAAAAAACAACTAAAACACAGGATATTCCTAAACTTGGGGATTGAGTTTCACCTGATTTGTATTGCCACCTTTCGTATATAATTATAATCAACGTGATCACGCGCTCACACCAAGCAAAACAAAAAAAGGAAAAACACGGCGGAAAGAGACAAGCGGCAGCGCAGGATCAAGTTTTGGCCGAAACCCATAATTTCGCCCATCTTGCTATCTTCGTCTTTTTCATTTGGCTCCATGGTGTCGCCGGCTTGACCGCCGCCGCCTGCCTATAAACAAAACCCAAGTCTAAAGACTGAAGACTGAAGCCTTAAGACCCCGACTCCCGACTCCCGGCTCCCGGTCTCCAAACCCCCAAAGAGATTCGAATCCAGTTCTCCTGGTGCTTTTGTTTTGCTTTTGTTGCTGCTGTTGCCTCGCTTCGCCTCGCGTTTATTGTTTTGCTGCACAGCGAACAGAGCCAAGGAAAATAACACGGGGCACGGGGATATTTGAGGGGAAACTGGCCCCAAACACCCGGGATCCCGTCTATATAGAGAAGGAGGAAGGCCAACAAAAAAAACAACACAACACATTGAGCAGCACAGCGCAGCGCAGCAAGAACGACGATCGGCCGAGGCAACAACAACTAAGTTGCATTGCAGCCGCCGCCGTATAAAAATCATCAGCGTCGTTGCCGCATTGCTGTTGTTGTAGCCATCAGACATGGCGCCGAAATCCAGAAAGAAGAAGGCTCATGGTAAATATTAATATAACATTTCTTTGCTTTTTTCTCTCGTGCACCTTGAAAACGAGGAAAAACAATTGTCCGATTGGGCTATTGGGGTATATTGGTTTTGTGGAAAATCGAATGGTATTTAAAAGGGTTTTTGCTTAGTTCTTAGATCCCTTACTACGCTAAAAGTATCTACACATTCCCATAACCTTTACGAAAATCACTTTGATATGATTTATATTTTTCTTTCAATAATTTAGACATGCTCTTAGTAAGGATTGTAAGAGGATTTGAAAATAAAAGCGGAAACCGTGCTTACCCAGCTCTCCCGAAAATTGGACAATGACAGTTCATTTCCCTAAGACTTTAATTCCCCTATATATGAAAAAGTCCAAAACAATATCAGTTTGATAAGTTCTACTCAATTTTTAAATATTTATTATCATATCATGTTAGTATGACAGCGATAACAGTCTTTATGATAGATAAAAATACCAAGCTGATAAACCATTTACGTGTTATTTTGCTTCTGCCTAAAAAGTATTTATAGATATGCTAATAGAATGTCCGATGGCAAAACCAAAATATTTGTTATTGACTTTGTGTGAACTTTGAATTAAATATATTTTCTAACATGTGTTGATATGTTGTTTTGTTGTTTGTTTATTATTTTTGAAAATCTTAATGCCACTATAAGAAGCTATAAAAATCCCATACGAAAAGGGCTTTCCGTTGAAACTGTTAAATAAGTACAAAACCCGATTTTTGCCTTATCATGATCCTCTGAGCTATTAAAAAACTACAAGCTTAGTTGAAAGGAAAATAAAACGAGTGAACTTACCAGTTATGCTCAATAAAAGTAGTATTTATTTAATTATTTGCTCGTAAAAGAGGAGTATTTACATTTCGAGTGGTTTCCTTAACTGGCATTTAACTGGGCTTCCTGGCCATTTATGGTTTTAGTTGCGATTCTCTGGCAGATTTTCCCCGAAGCTTTCACTGCGGCTCAGACTTGTCGCTTATCGGCCAGTGGATCGGTTCGGCGGACATGGCCATCTAGTAGTGCCATTATCATCGCCATGATCATGGTCTCATAAGTATGCAGTGCTCATATTACAAATCTCTTGGCATATCCTGTTGGTTACCCTCCGTTCTCCGTTCCCCTACCCGATTTCAATTGAAATTCGTTTTCTAATTGCGTTTTGTTGTTCTCGGCTCTGGTTCTATGTCAAGTGTGCTCTGGGATCGGATCGGATTGGATTGGTTCGGTTCGGATCTCCTGACCAGCCCAAGGAGATTCCATCAGCTTAAAATATGCGACGTTTCTCCCCGTTTCTCTCCATGGAGTTGTGCATGTTTTTCTTAATTTTTTATGACCCTGAGCAGGTAGAACCGAGCCAAAAGATTGAAAAACGAACAAATAATACGAAGAGGAACAGAGAACCACAATCTGGGCACCCCTTGCTGTAGGAGTGGATAAAATACAAAAACCAAAATCCAAAAAAAAAAGGGAGAGAAAAAAGATCAGCTGTCAATTTTATGGGTTCCCCTTTCTCCTCAAAACTCCTTTCTGGGGTGTTGTATGCACATATTTTATGCCTTTTTGTGTGCCCAACTTTGTTGTCATTTCATTTCATTTCATTTGCTTAGATTACTTTGATATGCATCTGAGCATTTGATTTGGGCTTAGACAGCCAAATGAATTGTACGACCGCGCGTGGTAGATACACACTGATATAATCCCTTTTCATCCTCTTAGAGCAGCACATTGGTTGATCTTTCAACAACTCTGATAATATTTGAACATAGTGAATGGCCAGGAAATCTAATGTAGATTTGTTAGACACTATGCTCAGCCGTAAAATTCAAAGCGGTCAGTTAATCAACATTTAAATGCAATTTTTATTTAATGTAGAGTTGCCAGAAATTATACTCAGCAGTAAAAATGCAGTTCGTTAATCAACATTTAAATGCAGTTTTAAATTTAGTTAGGAATTAAAATAAATGAACTGCACAAACTATGTGATATTTTTTTACGTTAACGCAATTAAATAAATACTTATTTTGGCCAATTTTTAGAAGTTCCCAAACTTGGTCAGCAAATAAATGTAAATGCAATCAAGCATTTATGACTTTTGATAAATAAAAAATAAATAAATGTTTTTAGTTTATTCTAAGACAGCCAATAGCAATGTCATAAAGTTTATAGTGCCATTATATAAAGTGGTTAAAACTATAAGCCACAGTTGTTGCGCCGCACACTATATGAAATCAAGAATTTCCGCTGTTAAAAACATTTTAAAATGTGTTTGAATTTAAAATTGTAGTTGGTTTGTTTTTATTTTCGCTGGGACTTATAAACGCCTGCCAATCGTCTGGGCATCCGTCCAGGTGCATATCTCTCAGCTTATTTATTTGATTTGCTTTGTTGTGCAGTTGTGCGTTCTCAGTTCGGGTCTCTTACTTAATAATAAATTCGCCACGGGTGGCTTCCGTCCCCTTCGACGTCCTCTTGGTCAGTCGGTTGCGCCCATGACAAATCGCAACAAATGCCAAACAGCAGACAAAACAGATAAAAACCCTCGAAAGCGCAACAAATACGAAAAACACCTTTTGATGTGGGCATTGTGTAGTTCGAAAGGCAATGGCAAAGGAAAAGACAAAGGCGCATAGTATACACCCACGCCCAAAAACTGAGTTTTCCTCGAAAAACCTTTCACAGAAAGTCGGCATTTGATTGAAAAATAGAATAAGCTTCGATGGACAGTTGATGGCCCAGTTTCACTTCCATCAAGCCAAGTGCAGACCTGTCATGATTCTACCTATATATTGGAATCGAAGCACTCGACGCCTCGAAATGTTTCGTGGAATCGGCTGGGGCAACAAATTGTGCTTTCTAACTGATACTGCGACCGACGAATGCTGATAAGACCATGGAAGTGTGGGTCTGGGGGGTAGTAAATACTAATTCCCAGGTATTTGACCGACCGTTCGGCAGGCCGCTGCTGTGTTTAGGGGCCAGGTTTGGTTGTTCCGAGCGCTAATCTTATCAATTTTGTCGTCTGCCGCCGCCTGTTCGCTCGCGTAAACAAACAAAAATAGTTATATGTTAATAATAATAGGCGCAAAGCAAAGCACAAAAACAAATTAAATGATATAGACAGACGTCAAGTACATAAGCGCACGTTTCTTTTTACGACGAGCGTGTGGTTGCATTTTGAGTGCGTTTTCCTAGCGTTTTTAGCCGCCTCAGCGCATAACTATAAAAATGATTTTTAAACCAAAGTAAACCAAACATTAACTGTACCCGTGTTGAACACACATTTTGTATTTATTTGCTGCGGCCTGCACTTTTTTTCGCACACATTTCCTCAGCGAAATTGTATTTTTAATTTGACTTAAATGCCAACCTGTCGATTTTCCCCGGCCAAAAAGCACACGCAAATGCGGGTCATTGATTTCTTGATTTCTTGGGCCTTCAGCACAAAAACCATCGACTAGACGGTTGTCTCGTCTTCAGACGGAACAAGGCGACACATTAATATACTTCCAATGGCCATATCTCAGCTACGTGGATTCGTATTAAATCAGCGATTCTGGCATTGACAAGGCACTGGAAAAGCAACTCATGATCTTTAGTATGAATAAAATAATTACAATTACAATGAAATGTTGCTCATTAAGATGCGATTATCAGATGAAAAATTAACAAATTGTTCGCGGAATCGCAGCAAATGGCAGGGAATTCATATAAAACCTGATTTACTTGGTCAATCAAAACGTTAGAGCACATGATATGTGTTGGGCCTGTACTTCCTTTATGGAGGGAATTACTTTAGCAGTGTGAAGCGTGAAATTTCAGATTCGTTCTGAGAAAATTGCATAACGGAATAAAATCTCGTATCTCGAAGAAAACTAGAGAAATCTTACAAGCTAGAAAAACATATAATTACGAGTATATTGCACTTGAATATTTTAGATTGAATAACGGCAGTGTCATAATAATATTGTTCAGCTGGTTTCCACTGAAATGATTTTGGGTTTTTTTTATTATTCAAGAGAAAGAAGAAAGATTAAAAATTTTATGATGTGTTTTTTTCGGTCTTTAAAAACGCTATAGACTTAGTCCCAGGGGTCGCTGCATATTTTGATAAGTCACATGAATATAAATAAAATGGAAATAAGATTTTCACTTCAAAAAGTTTTATATATTTAATAGGCATGAGCCTTAAATATGTTCATGCATTAAAGCCTAAGTCAATATATACATATTTAATTCACTAATGTACTGAAGTCATTTTAAGTAAAACCAAAAGGCTGGTTAGAAGACTTACAACCATATTTTTTCACAGTAAATTCCCCTGAGCTGTCACTTGGCGATTAACTACAGATTATTCCATTTATTCTTAATCAAATATCACCATTCAATTGAGATATGTTTGTTTAGCCACGTCTCTTGCCCTTTGCTGTTCTGCTGCGGTTCGAGTGCAGCGTCCGCATATCCTGTTTTGCCAGGCAGTGTGGATCAGCATCAACTTCAGCTTTAGCATCCACATCAGCCGATGCGATCTGTCGCCAGCGTGTGTAGCACACATGTGTTCCTCGCACAGGGCGCGTGAAAATGACGATCGAGGCGAGGTCTCCGGTCTCCGGTCTCCGATCCTCCATCCATCCATCCATTCATCCAACCATCCATCCGAGTTATACACTCCTTTGCTGCATTCTGCACTGGGATGATGCGGATATGCTGAATGCTGAGTAGGCGGCAGCTGCTGCTGTTTGTCAAAACATTGGCATGGAATTCGCTGTGGGGCCAGGCCAGGCAAGTGAAATGATATGTATCTGCCAGATACATATGCATCTCTGTGTGCATATGTAAATGCAGTTTCCTGCCGGCCCAAAAAAAAAAAAACAAAAAATAATAAGAATCTCCATTAGCAAGCAACTACAGCTACGGCCTCATCCAAAAAATTCCGCTTAATTTCGTTGACGATTAATCAAAATCAAATAAATGCAAGTAACTT